TTAGGTAAAGAGATTATAATGATATTAAGAAATTTAATGAATTTTAATACATATTATTGCTTTATTGATTTCGCTTTTTGATCACATTTTTACCAATTCTAGCAAATAACTACAAGAATCAATTGGAAGAGAGCCTGATTCAAGGAGTAATTTGGATCTAAATTATTGGTCCGGTATATGAATAATTACTTCGCGATCGAGTAACACAGAAATTGGGACCTCGAAATTTTCTAGGAATTAATAATGAAATAGATACGATAAATAGATTCGTTATAAAGTTAAGAAAGAATGCTAACTTTAATTTTCAAGATATCCTAGTTAGCGAAGGGCAAACCAAATTGAGGAAGATTTTCAGAGTAGCCATATATTATGTAGGCATATAAATGTTTAGTAGGAACAGGCTTTGTGCATTTACTATATTTTAGTATATATCTTTTTATGGAAAGTTTCGCATCCAGCACCAAGCTTAGCTTCTTAAAAAGGTCCTAAACACTTCAAAAACTTAATGTTTTCGAGTATACATTTCTCTGGGAAACGACAACCATGCAACCTCAGGCTTGTTCTCTCCTCTCGTTATATGAAATACTAAAATACATCATACGTACCTGCGATGTGCAATTGTTTTATCAGTTCAATAATTTAAGGCACAAATGGCAATTCTATAAAGCATCATATTAAAACCAACAACTTATAGGTATGGCTTAAAGCACTACCATAATATGGGCTTATAAATTAATTAAATGCTAAAAGGATACACCTTCCTACAATACACAGGAGTTACATTTAAATACTGAGTAAATTGAACTAAGTGGAATAAGAATAAATAAATTATCATCTTCAAGGTATTTTTAGGTAAGGCCAACTTTCTTAATTTTGCTCATGGAATGGTGTTCTATATTTTATTGCTTTATCATGGTTTAAAAATTTCCCTCGAATGTGCCATTGCGCCTAGCATATTTATACCCGATTGTTTGCCAAACAAATTTGTAAATACACTCTTCCTTAAGCTAAAGTCATTGAGATAAGTAATGCTAAATTTTCTCTTAGCTAGAAAAAAAACGTCTATACCAGAAAAGTTAAATATGATGGAAAGTAACCCTCGAATTTAAATAACATAGTAGAGAATATGTATATAGAATATATACATATTCTACAAGCTCAAAGTTTGTATATCTAAATGTTTTTTAAATTTAATTAATAGCCTAGTAAATAAAATTTTTTTTAATTCATATAAAATCTAAGAATTTATTTGTCTATATAAATCCTGCTTAATGGCGCCCACCATCAAAATGTATGCCTGTACTTGGCGGCGTACAGCACCTTGCTCCCCCCTCCGTAGATCGTCCCCTAGTCTCCGCATTATCCCTCGTGATATTTTCTGCCAATTTTTTTCATTTTAAAATGCTGAATTTATCCGCAATTTCAACAAACTCTCCTTGTTTTTAAATACCCAAGGGCCAGTTTGCATTTAACTGGGGATTTTGTGCTCCTTTTATGTGATACTTATTGGAAATATTGTTGACTAACATATACATTAGTAGCATATCAAGGACTTGCCCTCTGGTCTGATCTTATCATTTGCATCTTTATCAACTATTTCGTCATGTATTTAATGAATTGGGTGGCCTACTATCGTATACAATTTGTCTGAAAATGGAGGAAGATGCACGAGACGATGAAGCCAACAATAGTGCTTTGTGCGAGTCTTGCAATGCTGGTGAAGATTGTATACTCGAGGGGGATGCTCCTAGTTCTTCTCGGTAATTGTTGTATTTTACATTTTCTTTTAAATACTTGTGTTCCTTTTACTTAGTATACTTATCAGGGCCAAATTATTTTTTTAAAGCCTCTTTTATTTTGTATCGGTATGGTATTTTTTTACTCGCTCCTACGATCAAGCTTCGTCTCTGCTATTCAAATATTTACGGAATTCGTTACTTCTCCATTTGTATTTCAGGAGTGGATGCTCTCCCAACGGCTGGTTTCAGGGTCATTCATTCGTAAAGAAACATTTTCACAAGCCCGCCACATGTCATCACTGCTCTGATTTGCTTTGGGGACTTTTGGGAACGACCGGAATGATTTGCGAAAGTACGTGCATTTTATTTTGCTAATATAACTTTATCCGTTTTCCAAAAGTTTTTAAGCGAGTTTTAATTTTACATTCGTTTCGAGCGGTGATTTTTGCTTAGATATTGCTACTCACCGAGTGTCCATTGCATCTCATCTATCATTTTTGGACTCCGGTGAATGGATTTAAACTGTTAACTAAATTATCCAATAAACATGCTTCTTTTAATATTTGGGGTCTCGTTATGTTGTAATTTTCATCATATTTAGAATATATGCGCGATGTGTATGTTCAAAGTGAGGTCACTTAACTTTCACAACTTGACAATTTTGTCAGAATGACAGTTTAACGCGCTGTCCGAATTCCTCTGCCACAGTAGTTATCATGATTACCAGCGTCAGACCGTGGACTTGGTACATTCTCACACATTTTGCCAGCATCGTAGTGAGTGACTTGGCATTCTCATCTCCAAGCTATAACGCGTCAGAGACAAGTGAAGCCAGCTCCTTGACTAACTTTTTGCGGTGCAGGCAAAACGCCTGAGAATGTACTAAGTCAACGGTCCGACGATGGGAATTATGGTACACAACATAGCAAAGGACTTCGTACAAGTTGCGAAAACGAGGTCAATCCTCTTCTATACATCGAAAGAGGATTGCGACCATACCGAAGGCCATACCGTCTTCATATATTCAAAGTTTGGTTTCTAATTTACTCTCTTGCCTTTCTAATTTGATCAGATTTTTAAATTAGAGCATGTCCATTCTACTTTTTCTTTTCAGTATGCAACTTTTTAGCCCATGAAAAGTGTCTGTCTCTTATTGTTTCTCCATGTACCTGCATTGTTCCTTTTCTCGTTCAGGTAGGTCCCTATACCTTTGTTTCGTATTTTATTTAAATGCATTTTAGTTCATCCTTATTCAATTTTTTATGATTAGGATGCTGTATCTCATTGCTGGTCGGATATTGGCCATTTTAAGCGAAAATTTTGTAACGTCTGTCGTAAACGTCTCGACGACCTTTTAGCGGTCCGCTGTGAGAGTGAGTCCTTTCACCATCCGACTGTTTACTTATTTAATTTTGATTAAGATGATTTTTTTAAATTTGTCATTACATTCTTGCTCACATCTCTGAGCAGTTTTAAAATCAATTTTTAATCATTTTATGCTACTGGAAATGGCCGAGATGTGCCCAAATCATTATTCCTTGGCCTTGAGATTCTGAGCCTCTAGCTTCATCACTTATCCCCTTTTAAATTAGTTTCGTACCAGCATATGTGCAAATAGCTTGTATCTTGGTATGGTTCAAAGTACCAATTGTCTACACTTGACCAAAGTTGTTTCTTTATAATGTCCCGCTACTTATCTGCTACTATTTGCCTTGACTCGCCCTGGCCCAGTGAGCAAAAGATTTTTAATGCGCGTCCGCTAAAATGTCCTTGTATCTTTTTATCGATCGTTCATTTCTCGCGTATCTATTTTCTCATGAATTCGTCCTGCTCGCGTCCGTTTATTTATCCCTATGCATGCGCGCGTGCGTGTGTTTATATATTCGCTCTCGTGCCTTTGGCAACCTTTGCTCAAATTGTCTCTATCTTTCTCGTGATTTCTCAATTGGTAAGATCTAATCCCAGTCTCGCTATCTGCCTCACCTGTTCATCCCTCTTGTGAACTTGGCAGGCTTTTATCTATCACTCCTCATGTCTGTACGCATATTTGCTGATTTTCCTGATTAACCACCTTACTGTTTAGCCTGGTCCGCCCTTCACTTTTCTCGCTCTTCGATTATCTACTTGTACCTCACTGCATCCTCACTCACTTTGTGTATTCCTCTGTCTGTCTTCCGGATGCGCGTGTATGTGTCTATGTGCATGTGCCTCTGCACTAACTTATTTCTTCTAGCTATCTGACGCTTTTATATGCGGTGTCCCAGTTGCTTGGATAGCTATAGGTTCGCTTCAGTCAAACTTATTTCACTTAGTCCGTCCGCTCTGGTTTCTCTTTCACTAACTCCGTCCAGGCGGGATTATCATACTTATTTCCCTAATCTCATGCTCATCAGGCTTATTATCAGCATTTTTTATATTTGTTCCATTAAAAAAACATCCGCCTAAGGGCACATTTATCGTATCGTTTTAAGCTATAATCAGGGACCCTATGACGGGCTTCTGGCATTTTGCCATCCTTTAAACCTTGTATTAGTTTGATTTTTATAGATATATTATGTGGGCAAAATAGATTATCTCTGTATTTTGATTAGTTTCGCAATTTCATTTTTTTATGAATAATCAACTAGCTGTTTTTTCATAAAGCATCATCTTTATTTTATAGTGAGCCAAATTGTAGCCTGTGCACAAATTCGTGAACACGAATGAATAAATTTAATTGTTTTTGGAGACTTATGTATTCATCAAAACATTGATGATTGAAAAATCTGATGAAAAGGGAGGTCAAATATCTTAAACGTACTTTATTAGTAGCACTAAATCCCTTGCACTCTGTCTATTTTGTGCAATCCAGATCTCATTTAGTTTAGTCTTAAATTAATCTTATTTTAGGAATGATTGAATCATTCTAGGAATATTTTTAAGTTCAATATGGTTCATGGATTTCGATTAAATGCACTGTTCTGTAAGTAGTGCCTATCGGAACTCGACCGTGACTATCAAAGAAGATCCTTTAACTTGGAACGCTAAATGATTAAATGTATGGCCTTATTTTTCCACTTAAAGCCTATGCATGAGGAAGTATAAGGCATGATTCCATAAAACACCATAGCAAAGATGTGTTTTCTTACGATTCATATATTGACACCATTCTTAAATTTTATATTTATTAACTACTTTAAATACTGTATTTATGTAAAAATCAGTCTTATCTTCGCTTATGCAGTAACGGCACAAAAATTTAATAACGCCGTTGATTTGAAGGCCTTTCGTTTGGTCGTAGATAAATATTTGCTTCGGAATTCATTTTATTTGAAGTTATAGTGGCACAGTTTATTCATGATACATTTCCGTTTTCGACTCTTAAGCCCTTTCTCAACCATAAGTAATAACCTATTTACCCTTTGATTCTTTATTTCCATTTAGTCTGCGAGTACTACGCCCACTATGAATGTCTTGACTTCGTCGCCGCTGACTGCAAGCAGTGTGCTGTCTCTACTCCTATGTTTGATCGAAAGGTAAGCCATCACTGCATTTGGTCTCTGGCGTCCTGTTTCTTGTAAAATTGTTTTTATATCAAGCAAATACTTAGGTGACAACATAGACAACATTTTGTTGATTCTCATGTGAAATAAGAATGATAGTTAATTTTCATGCATGAAGTAATTGATACTTTACAAAAGCCCTTAATATCAAT